AGATCTGACTGGGACAAACCTTGTTATGCTGAGCTCGTATTTTGCACAATTTCTATACGGTGTCTGTTTGATAACGTGTGGTTTGCTATGCCTAATAAAGGACATTTGATTGGAATGATATCACACGCAACATCACACACGTTTCTGGTCCATTAATTCCTCGCCTCTTCTCTCATTCCTGCATCTTTCCAGAACCTTCTCGAATGGAGGTCTGTGGTTGAGCAGTGGAAGGTGAAGGAGAATATCAAAGTGGGTTTCAACATGTTTTTAATTTATTATTGATTGATTGGATGAATTTATATACTGCCCCATACCTGGTGGTCTCAGGGCTGTTATTGCTGGTGTTAATTTTTTTAAAAAAATGTTTAAATGGTTGCTTTTAACTGTTTTCACTAATAATGTTATTTATTTTATTCTTGCAACCAGGGGTGCACTTTGGTTATACGGTGCCCTGAGCAAGGACAACATTTGGCAGCCCCACCCTAAATATTTCTTATTTTCCTAATGATTCCTTTGAGTACAGTTGTTTTTTTTTATACATCTTCTGAGGAAGTACCCGTATAAATATGGTGGTGTTGTTTTGCAACCCCTCGACCGCCCTGGGTTCAAGGGTGCCAGCCAGCCCCAAACCCCACCTTGCTGATTGCTCCCCACAACCAGAATGGCCACCTTTGGGAGTGGCCCAAGATGCTTATATAGGGCTCTCAGCCAATCAGAAGGCTGGATGCCTGGGAGCCAATCAGCTTCAAGGGCCTTAAGGAAAGACCCCATTGCTTTCTTTGCTTCTTGGTGGTTCAAGAAATGACTAAAAATGGGCAAAAAGAAGCAGATATTAGGCTGTGAATTTTGTACCCACTTCCTGCCTGCAGGAAAAGGATTTACAGTATTTTTCGCTCCATAAGACGCATCTGACCATAATACACACCTAGTTTTTATAGGAGGAAAACAAGAAAAAATATATTCTGAACGAAACAGTGGATGTGTGATTTTTGTGGTTCATGCTGTGGCCACAGACATGTCATTTGAGGGTGAGTTTGGGGTAGCCCAATGCAAAAATTATGAATTCTGGTGCTGGAGGAGACCCACAGACTGCAAGAAGATCAAACCTCTCCATTCTGAAGGAAATCAGCCCTGAATGCTCATTGGAAGGACAGATCCTGAAGCTGAGGCTCCAAGACTTTGGCCACCTCATGAGAAGAGAAGATTCACTGGAAAAGACCCTGATGTTGGGAAAGATGGAGGGCACAAGGAGAAGGGGACGACGGAGGACGAGATGGTGGGACAGCGTTCTCGAAGCTACCAGCATGAGTTTGACCAAACTGCGGGAGGCAGTGGAAGACAGGGGGGCCTGGCGTGCTCTGGTCCAAGGGGCCATGAAGAGTCGGACACGAATAAATGACTAAACAACAACAACTAAAGGAGAAAGGTTTTTGGTAGCTCTCAAGGAAGCCTTCCCTTACTTCTTGCCCCTCTGGTCTCCTAGGACCAGAAGAGGCATGAAAAGGGCGGAGGATAGGTTGGCTGCAGGCAGACACAGTCTCCGATTGCTTGGGGTAATCTCTAGAGAGGAGGGGACTGAGATGGCTGTGGGGAGGTGGGAGCCTTCATTCTCAGCAACAGCTTCATGGGGCAAGCTGATGAGTTGCTATGAGTTACTGTGCTCACTAGGCATCACAGCCCTGCGTCAATTGTGTTTTGGCTAACAAAGAGTTGCACATTGTGATTTACTGCTGCCGCGCTCCTGACATGATGTAATTTTAAAAATATGTTGCAAGCAGCCTTTGGCACAGTTCTAACTTTGGAAACCACAGAGCCTAGGGCTTGCTGATCAGAAGGTCGGCAGTTCAAATCCCTGCGACGGGGTGAGCTCCCGTTGCTCGGTCCCTGCTCCTGCCAACCTAGCAGTTTGAAAAGTTTGAAAGCACATCAAAGTGCAAGTAGATAAACAGGTACCGCTCTGGTGGGAAGGTAAACGGTGTTTCCATGCGCTGCTCTGGTTCGCCAGAAGCGGCTTAGTCATGCTGGCTACATGACCCGGAAAAACTGTCTGCAGACAAACGCCGGCTCCCTCGGCCAATAACGCGAGATGAGCGCTGCAACCCCCAAGTCGTCCGTGACTGGACCTAATGGTCAGGGGTACCTTTACCTTTAACTTTGGAAAGGCGACATGCAAATAAAAGGATTGATTGATTGAGCGCTGTTAAACAGGAGGGATATGAGGGCCTTTGTGTGTCAATATCTAAGGTGTAGTGGTTAGTAAAGGTAAAGGGACCCCTGACCATTAGGTCCAGTCGTGACCAACTCTGGGGTTGCGGCACTCATCTCGCTTTACTGGCCGAGGGAGCCAGCGTACAGCTTCATGTGGCCAGGAGGGACCGAGCAACGGGAGCTCACCCTGTCGCGGGGATTCGAACCGCTGACCTTCCGATCGGCAAGCCCTAGGCTCTGTGGTTTAACCCACAGCGCCACCCGCGTCCCGATGTAGTGGTTGGTAGTTCAGACCAAAATCTGAATCCCCCAGTCAGCTATGAAGCTCACCAGGTGAAACCTTGCAGCCCGTCCCTGCCTCTCTCGACCTGGCCTACCTCACAGGGGTGTTGTGGAGATAAAATGAGGAGGCCAGAAGAACCAAGCCCATTCCACCTTGAGGAAAAAATGTGGGATAGACATGCAATAAATAAAATAGCTGAGGGCGCCCTGATCCCCCACAGCCACTGTACCGCGGACCCCATTTTCGGAGAAAGTTTGCAGACACCAGAATGTCTGGTGGAAATTTGTGCAACCTGGTTGAGTTTGCAGAGGGCGTTCTGGTGGCGGGAGAAAGTTCTTCCGTGTTGCTGGAGCGACCCCTGAGAGTCATGCGGCCTAGGACCCACGTACCTACGGGACCGCCTCTCCTGGTATGCCCCGTGGAGGACCTTAAGGTCCACAAATGACAACACCTTGGAGGTCCCAAGTCATGAGGTGGTTAGATTGGTCTCAACTTGGGCCAGGGCCTTTTCAGTACTGGCCCCGACTTGGTGCAACGCTCTGTCCCAAGAGACCAGGGCCCTGCGGGACTTGACATCTTTCCGCAGGGCCTGCAAGGCAGAGCTGTTCCGCCTGGCCTTTGGTTAGGACTCAGTCTGACCCTTATGTTTCCCTCCACTTATGGTCTTGATCTATGGGCTGCTTTTAAAATGAGGCTGCATTTTAAATTGCATTTTAGCCTGTATTTTAAATTGGTTCCCCCACCCCCCCTTATGTTTTTTCTGTAATTTTACTGGTGTTAGCCGCCCTGAGCCCGGCTCTGGCCAGGGAGGGCGGGGTATAAATAAATTTTATTTTTATTATTATTATTATTATTATTATTATTATCTAGTCCAACCCCCTGCAAAGCAGGAATCTCAGCTAAAGCATCTATGACAGATGGCCATTCTGAAAAACCCCCAAGGTGTTTAGCTTGGGAATAGAAAGAAGAGAGAGATGACAGCCATCTCTAAATATCTCAAGGGGTGTCACGTGAAAGAGGGAGCAAGCTCGTTTTCTCCTGCTCCGGAGGGTAGGACTCGAACCTGTGGCTTCACGTTACAAGAAAGGAGATTCCGACTAAATATCAGGAAGACGGCAAGAGCCGTTGGACAGTGGATCGGTCTCCCTTGGGAGGTGGTGGACTCCCACCCGTTGGAGGTTCTTAAGCAGAGGTTGGGGGGCCATCTGTCAGAGGTGCTTTAGCTGAGAATCTTGCGTTGCAGAGGGTTGGGGTAGATGGCCCCTGGGAGTCCCGTCCAACTCTATCATTCTATGGTTCTATGACATGAACACCATGAAGGACCTAAGAAGAGCTCTCCTGGATGCGGCCAGTGGCCCACATTTTCCAGCATCCTGTTCTCACAGTGGCCAACCTCAACATTTACTCTAAGGCCACCAAGAAGATCTCTTATTTACTCTAAGGTCACCAGGAGCATCTCTTATTTAAGGCCACCAGGAACATCTCTTATTTACTCTAAGGCCACCAGGAACATCTCTTATTTACTCTATAAGGCCACCAGGAACACCTCTTATTTACTCTAAGGCCACCAGGAACATCTCTAATTTACTCTAAGGCCACCAGGAACATCTCTTGTTTACTCTAAGGCCACCAGGAACACCTCTAATTTACTCTAAGGCCACCAGGAACATCTCTAATTTACTCTAAGGCCATCAGGAACATCTCTTGTTTACTCTAAGGCCACCAGGAACACCTCTAATTTACTCTAAGGCCACCAGGAACATCTCTTGTTTACTCTAAGGCCACCAGGAACATCTCTTGTTTACTCTAAGGCCACCAGGAACACCTCTAATTTACTCTAAGGCCACCAGGAACATCTCTAATTTACTCTAAGGCCACCAGGAACATCTCTTGTTTACTCTAAGGCCACCAGGAACATCTCTAATTTACTCTAAGGCCACCAGGAACATCTCTAATTTACTCTAAGGCCACCAGGAACATCTCTTGTTTACTCTAAGGCCACCAGGAACATCTCTAATTTACTCTAAGGCCACCAGGAACATCTCTTGTTTACTCTAAGGCCACCAGGAACATCTCTAATTTACTCTAAGGCCATCAGGAACATCTCTTGTTTACTCTAAGGCCACCAGGAACACCTCTAATTTACTCTAAGGCCACCAGGAACATCTCTAATTTACTCTAAGGCCATCAGGAACATCTCTTGTTTACTCTAAGGCCACCAGGAACACCTCTAATTTACTCTAAGGCCACCAGGAACATCTCTAATTTAAGGCCACCAGGAACATCTCTTGTTTACTCTAAGGCCACCAGGAACATCTCTAATTTACTCTAAGGCCATCAGGAACATCTCTTGTTTACTCTAAGGCCACCAGGAACACCTCTAATTTACTCTAAGGCCACCAGGAACATCTCTAATTTACTCTAAGGCCATCAGGAACATCTCTTGTTTACTCTAAGGCCACCAGGAACACCTCTAATTTACTCTAAGGCCACCAGGAACATCTCTAATTTACTCTAAGGCCACCAGGAACATCTTCCACCACAGAGCCCTCCTCACCTCGTATCCCTTGCGCTTCTTTAGCCTCTTCTTGTTGAGGCGCTTGTTGGCGTACATTTTGCCGGTAGCCTTCATCTGGCAGGCGCACACCTCCCCGAACCCCCCTTTGCCCAGCACTCGGAAGTCCATGAACCACTCGTCCGTCACGCTCTGGGCCTCCAGCCACTTGAACTGGAGGAAGCGGTAGAAGAAGAGGCTCTCCTTGTAGGGGGCGTAGGCCTTCTCCTCCAGGTGTTTGAGCAGCTGCTTCTCGGACTCTTTGAAGAGGTCTCCGTGGCTGTGCTTGCTGTCCTCCTTGACCCGCATGATGGCCTTCTCCTCCAGGAAGGAGCAGAACTCCTTCGAGGCCGAGTCGAAGTACTTGTTGATGGTCACCTGGGCGGTGGAGCCCCTCATGGCCTCCTCAGATGTGTTGTACTCCTCAATGCTCTCCCACAGTCCCGCCGCCGCCATGAACTGCGGCGTGTCCTCCAGGAACTGCTGGAAGATCCTCTTCCCGATGGGCTGCCTCAGGCAGTTGAATTTAAAGTCCAGGTCCAGGGTGTCTTTGAGATGCTCACATTGTGTGATGTGCGGCAACTTCAGCTTGGCTCGCATCTTCTTGTCGCGCCCCGAGGACGGGCCGCCGTCGCCCCGAGCCGAGACGTAGGCCGAATTGGCCACCACCGTCTCCAGGCCTCCGATATCCATGGTGGCTTCGCGTCACCTAGCAAGGCAAGCAGAGGGGGTTAATTCCAGACCCTCCAATTTTTACGATACAGTAAGATACCTTTATTGTCACTGTCCCATACAGAACAATGGAATTGAAAAATCTGCGTAAGACATTCAAAAACCCCTAAAAACTCTGAAACCCCATTTTAAAATACAATATACTCCTATAGAGACTCCTTATACAGTGGTACCTCGGGTTACATACGCTTCAGGTTAGAGACGCTTCAGGTTACAGACTCCGCTAACCCAGAAATAGTGCTTCAGGTTAAGAACTTTGCTTCAGGATAAGAACAGAAATCATGCTCTGGGAGCGCGGCGGCAGCGGGAGGCCACATTAGCTAAAGTGGTGCTTCAGGTTAAGAACAGTTTCAGGTTAAGAATGGACCTCCAGAACGAATTAAGTACTTAACCCGAGGTACCACTGCACTGTGTTTAAGAGGGACGCGGGTGGCGCTGTGGGTTAAACCACAGAGCCTAGTACTTGCCGATCAGAAGGTCGGCAGTTCGAATCCCTGTGACGGGGTGAGCTCCTGTTGCTCGGTCCCTGCTCCTGCCAACCTAGCAGTTCGAAAGCACGTCAAAGTGGAAGTAGATAAATAGGTACCACTCTGGCGGGAAGGTAAACGGCGTTTCCATGCGCTGCTCTGGTTTGCCAGAAGCGGCTTAGTCATGCTGGCCACATGACCCGGAAGCTGTACGCCAGCTCCCTCGGCCAGTAAAGCGAGATGAGCGCCGCAACCCCAGAGTCGGCCACGACTGGACCTAATGGTCAGGGGTCCCTTTACCTTTACTTTATACTGCGTTTAAAGCCAGAATTGCATTTGGGTAGAAACTGTTTCTCAGGCGGCTAGTCCTAGTCTTTATAACCCTGTCCCTTCTTCCAGAAGGCAGAAGCTGAAAGAGATCATTTCTGGGGTGCGCACTATCCTGCGCTATCTCTGCAGCTTTCTTATGGCACCTGGAAGCATAGATTTGATCCAAGGTGGGAAGAGTGCACCCAGTTATTCTCTCCACAGTCTTTACAACCCTGGACAGCGTTGTTTTTCCCCTGACCGTGCAAGTCCCAAACCACACACACAGACCATAAGTTAATACACTCTCCACAGTACAGTGGTAAAATGCCATCAACAGGTCCTTTGAGAGATTGTTTTTCCGGAGGATTCTCAGAAAATATAACCTCTGCTGTGCTCTCTTCATCGGGTCTTTGCTGTTTTCTCCCCGGGTTAGGTCATCTCTCAACTCCATTCCCAGAAATCAAAATACCGAGACCTGTTCCACACACTTCCCCTCAGTAATAAGTGGCTGAATATTCAATTTACATTTCCTAAAGTCCACAATAATCTCTTTTGTTTTCTTTAAGTTAAGGAGTAAGTTGTTTTCCTGCACCACTCCCCCAGCTGCTTAACTTCCTTCCTATAGGCCGCCTCCCCCTCTCCAGCCATGATTAAACCAACCACCGTTGTATTATCTGCAGACTTAATGATCTTATTACTGGGGTATTTGGGGGCACAGTCAGCTGTATAGAGCGTATATAATAGTAGGCTCAACACGCAGCCCTGTGGCATCCCCGTATTCATGATGAGATCCGCAGAGACGTGGGAACCCAACCTGACCCTTAGGGAACGGTTTGATAGAAAATCTAATATCCACCTGCATGGTGAAAGTCCTAGGTCTAATAATTTGGGCACCAATCTATGCGGAAGAATAGTATTAAATGCAGAACTAAAGTCTACAAATAACAGTCTCGCATAGTTCCCTTGCTTCTCCAAATGAGTCAGGGCAGCATGTAAAGCCATTGCCACAGCATCATCCGTGGATCTCTTGTACGCAAACTGGTAATTACTGGGGAATTATATATAATGAAGTGAAAAGGATGTTGAACAGCCTTCAGAGGGTGGAGGTACATGGATCCACATGTGGTGGAACTGTAAAAAGATTATAGACCATTTTGGGAAATGATTTACAATGAATTCAATAAAATGTTCCCATGTTCCTTCCCTAAAAAACCCGAAGCCTTCCTGCTAGGAATTATGGGTAATGAAATCCAAAAAGAGTTTAGGAAAATCTTCATGTACGTTACAGTAGCAGCCAGAATTTTAATTGCAAAAGGTTGGAAGGAAGAAACCATCTCATCCAAAGCAGACTGGCAAAACAAACTAAGAGAATATGTAGAATTAGCAAGACTATCAGCAAGGCTACGAGGTGTCACACAGGGGAAATTTGCCAGAGAGTGGGATATATACAGAGTCCATGTAAAAGAACATTGTTGAAAGCTTCTGTGTGTACAACTTGAAAAATCTTTAAGTAGGGTGAAAATAAAGTTAAGTGCATATTTAAGGAATTTGACTCGGAACACAATGAGAAGATCGGGGGTTACGTTAAATTGAATTTCAGAATGATATACAAAACAAATATCAACCAAGGAATGAATGAATGTTTGTTTTTATTTTGATAACAACTTTTATTGATCATTTCTGCTGTACAGTTTTCAAAACCAATCAAGCATAAAAAAGAAAGGAAAGGATGTTCAAAATAACTTTTGTAAAAACAAACAAACACCAGAAGCTTTTCTTTGGGCAATTACAGTCAAACCTCGGTTCTCTCATACATACATCACGTAAGAAGGTCTCCAACAAAAGATTGAGAGTGGCTTCTCTCCTGTCTGTCAAGGCACCTGAGAATGCTCAGCCGTTGCATGACCTGGCCAGGAATTAAGGATTATATAATATCTATTATATGAACCAATACATAAACGCCGTGAAGAAATTTTGGAGGAAATAAAGAAAAGGATGGGATGTTTCCTAGTATTGGAGGTAATGTTGTGGTGTTGGGCTGGATGAGAACTACTGTTAATTCTTATTTGTTGTTTAGTCGCTTAGTCGTGTCCGCCTCTTCGTGACCCCCTGGACCAGAGCACGCCAGGCACTCCTGTCTTCCACTGCCTCCCGCAGTTTGGTCAAACTCCTGCTGGTCGCTTCGAGAACACTGTCCAACCATCTTGTCCTCTGTCGTCCCCTTCTCCTTGGGCCCTCCATCTTTCCCAACATCAGGGTCTTTTCCAGGGAGTCTTCTCTTCTCATGAGGTGGCCAAAGTCTTGGAGCCTCAGCTTCAGGATCTGTCCTTCCAGTGAGCACTCAGGGCTGATTTCCTTCAGAATGGAGAGGTTGGATCTTCTTGCAGTCCATGGGACTCTCCAGAGTCTCCTCCAGCACCAGAATTCAAAAGCATCCATTCTTCGGCGATCAGCCTTCTCTATGGTCCAGCTCTCACTTCCATACATCACTACTGGGAAAATCATAGCTTGATTCTTATATACAACAACAATTGGAGAATCTTCTTCTGGACCTCTTGCATTGAAAGTAAGGAATGAACCGGAGAGTCCCAGATTGAAGACCGGGAAAAATGTCATTTAGCAGAGGGAGGAATAACTGGATATTAATCTACATTGAATATTTGACTTCCTTCTACTGCAGAGAAAATATCTGGGGTCCTTTAAGAGAGTCAAGATGGCTTTGGGATTGTTCTCTGAATGTAGTGTCAATTCCCCTCCCAGGGAATATTCCCTATTTTTTGAAGGGTTAGTTTTTTGTGGAGTGTGTGTCCTTAAAATTTGTGTAACACGCCCATATGGGGTGCATGTTGTTAAATGCACCCCGCACCAAGCTCACAATACTCTCACAGCCGGGAACCAACACAAGTCGGAAGTCATGTTTATCAGCTCTTTAGTTCACCTCAGAAACCCTTCTTGTCCCATAGCAGCAGTGCCGGATTTAGGTATAAGCTAAACAAGCTATAGCGTAGGGCCCCTCTCTCTTGGGGGCCTCAAAAAAAATTAAATAAAAAACCCCCTGGATGTACATTTCCAAAATATAAGATAAAAAACAAATCAAATAATATTGGGGAAATGAGAGCCCGAGAGCACCGAAAACTGGACAGCTCCTTGACTCAAAAGAAGATTAGTGGGCGGGTGAGGGCAAAACAGGTGAGGCTATAAAGTTGCCAGGAATATCTTAAGGAGAGGGGGGGTTAAAGGAGGTGGCCGGGGAGGGGAGGAGAACAAGCTGCTCCAGGATTTAGAAGATTGGCATGTTTTCTTATGCTTCCGGGCTTCTCAGGGATGCTGGCCAGGCGATATCTGCACCCCCACTGCACGCATGCGTTCCGGGGAGGGAGCTGCTCCGGTTGAACTTCCACCCGTCCCGCAACTTGTCAAAAGCTGCCTCGCGCATTAAAAAGGAAGATCGGAAAACTGCAAATTAGGAGAAATTCTATTTTTAAAAAATAGAATCGCCATTCAGATTTTTAAAAACTCTGGTTTTCACATATGCACGAGTTTGCTTTTTGCCTAAAATGTTGCACGTCGCTTTGAGTCGCAGTGGAAAAAGGGACTGATATATTGAATCGACCAACTAATAATGAGAATAGCAATAAAAAAATACTGATGAATTTACAGGAGGATTTTTAAAACTTTTTTTTTTTTTTTTTGCAGGAGCAGGAATGCAAAGAACTGAATTTAATATTGGGGGACTGAATATTGGGGGACTTGTCAAAAGCTGCCTCGTACATTAAAAAGGAAGATTGGAAATTTTTCCTATATGCCACAACAGCAGGAAGGCTACTCCTCGCACAGAGATGGAAACCACAGGATATTCCGACAACTGAAGAATGGCAACATAAAGTATTGGAGTATGCAGAAATAGCAAGGCTAACTTGGAAGAATCCGACAGCGGGACGATGAGAAATTCCAAAAAGAATGGTCCAAATTTATGGTATACGTACGAGAAAACTGCACATTAATAAAGACACTCACAGGACTGAAATAAAACTCGTAACGTTTATTGTGAATGTTTGGTTAGACCGCAAGATGTAATGCTGTAATATAATAAGGAATGTATGTCTAAAGTATAATACAAAAATTTATGAAGGAATTATAGACGTTTATAGAATGTATATATTGTTGTTGTTGTTGTTGTGTCCTCTTCTTCATGACCCCCCAGACCAGAGCACGCCAGGCACCCCTGTCTTCCACTGCCTCCTGCAGTTTGGTCAAACTCATGCTGGAAGCTTTGAGAACACCGTCCAACCATCTGCTCAAACAGTTTGCTGACCCCCTCCTCTAACCACTATGCCACACTGCCTACTGGGAGTTCGGAAGGAAGGACAACAAAACACATCACAACGTAACAAGGCATCCTGTTATCGCAGGAACGGTCTCCGTTGGGCAGTTGTGGACTCTCCTCGCCTGGAGGTTTTTAAACAGAGGTTTGAGGGTCATCTGTCCGGAGTTCTTCAACTGTGGGGGTTGGACTAGATGACCCTCTGGGTCCCTTGCAATTCTATGACGTGTGGGAGCCTTCTGAGACCCGTGCACAGCTTAAGAGTCACAGGATGCTTTGACCCTAGTGGCCTTTAACCCTGCTAAGATACTGTTTTTTCACAAGAAAGGAGAATGAATTTACCACCTAGCAAGGCCCACAATGTCCACCTCAGCAAAGATCCTCAGTATGTTTCCGAGCACAATTCAAAGTGTTGGTGCTGACCTTGAAAGCCCGAAATGGCCTCAGTCCAGTATACCTGAAGGAGCATCTCCACCCCCATCGTTCTGCCCGGACACTGAGGTCCAGCACCGAGGGCCTTCTGGCGGTTCCCTCGCTGCGAGAAGCCAGGCAGAGGGCCTTCTTGGTAGTGGCGCCCACCCTGTGGAACGCCCTCCCACCAGATGTCAAAGAGAAGAACAACTACCAGACTTTTAGAAGACATCTGAAGGCAGCCCTGTTTAGGGAAGCTTTTAATGTTTGATGTATTAGTAAAGGTAAAGGGACCCCTGACCATTAAGTCCAGTCGTGGCCAACTCTGGGGTTGCGGCGCTCGTCTCGCTTTATTGGCCGATGGAGCCAGCATCCAGCTTCCGGGTCATGTGGCCAGCAGGACTAAGCCGCTTCTGGCGAACCAGAGCAGCGCACGGAAACGCCGTTTACCTTCCCGCTGGAGCGGTACCTATTTATCTACTTGCACTTGCTTTTGAACTGCTAGGTTGGCAGGAGCTGGGACCAAGCAACGGGAGCCCACCCCGTCGAGGGGATTCGAACCACGACCTTCTGATCGGCAAGTCCTAGGCTCTGTGGTTTAACCCACAGCGCCACCCGCGTCCCATTGTTTGATTTATTACTGTATTTTAATATTTGGTTGGAAGCCGCCCAGAGTGGCTGGGGAAGCCCAGCCAGATGGGCAGGGTATAAATAAATTATTATTATTATTATTATTATTATTATTATTATTATTATTATTTCCCCTGCAACATTAGTTAGGAGCTTCCTCCTTGCATTTTCTATCCCATTTATTTATTTCTACTGGTTCTCCTGAGAGCAGCCGCTGAATTGCTGCCAAACACCTTAATCATCCCAAAGTCAGTTGGGTGCATCCAGTGTCAGATTTACGATGTAAACAAGCTATAACTTAGGGCCCCCAAAAAATTTAAAGGGGAAAAAACTGGATGTACATTTCCAAAACATAAGATAAAAAATATTTTGTTAAGTGCAAATGGCTTTAGATACCTATGAGGTCCATAAATAACCACATAGCATATATTCAACACAAAAAACAGCGACAATTTGTTGTTAACAAAGGACAGCTGGACATAGAAAGGGCCCTATTACCTTGCTTAGGGCCTTATCAAACCTAAATCCGGCCCTGGGTGCAGCTTCGATTCCTGACCACTTCACCCTCATTTTAATTCTTTTCATAGTAAAAGCAGTGTTGTTTTGCGGGAAGAAATAAAACAGTCAGAAGTTTCCAGGGGGGGAAAACGAAGGGCGGTGAGGAAGGTACTAACTAAAGGTACAGGAGGGACGATGAGGTTCAGTAGCAATTTGCCTGCTGACACTCTACAGGGTGCCACTGGAATCAGGTCTGGGAAAAGGCAGGAAAGGAAGGTAGAAAATTCTAGAATGCAAGAAGCTGGCAACAATATCAACTAGATTCGCTGGTGGTGGTGGGGTGGATGAAGGCTATTTGTTCCAGATTAAAATTATTTTAATTAAGATTGCTAAGAATATGATGAAAATACATAACTGAACATAAATATAGATTGGAAATGGTTGTGTATAGTGAATACTTATCTACTTTTAAAATTCTCATTCTTGATCTTATTTCTTCCTTTTCTTTATCTTCTTCTTCTTCTTTTCTTTTATGTTTTACCTTTCATTTCTTTTCTTTCTTGTGAATATTGTTTTGTAGAGGTGTAAATAATTGTAAATATGAGAAGAGGTAAAATGTTTTCTAATTTTCTCTTGGTTACATGTACGGTATTTTCCCTTTTTTTTTTTTTTTTTTTGTATATTTGTATCTCACTTCCATACATCACTACTGGGAAAACCAGAGCTTTTACTATACGGACCTTTGTTGGCAAGCTGATGTCTCTACTTTTTAACCTACGTAGACAGCATCTTAAAAAGTAGAGACATCACCTTGCCAACAAAGGTCCATATAGTAAAAGCTCTGGTTTTCCCAGTAGTGATGTATGGAAGTGAGAGCTGGACCATCAAGAAGGCTGATCGCCGAAGAATGGATGCTTTTGAATTCTGGTGCTGGAGGAGACTCTGGAGAGTCCCATGGACTGCAAGAAGATCCAACCTCTCCATTCTGAAGGAAATCAGCCCTGAGTGCTGGAAGGACGGATCCTGGAAGGACGGATCCTGAAGCTGAGGCTCCAAGACTTTGGCCACCTCATGAGAAGAGAAGACTCCCTGGAAAAGACCCTGATGTTGGGAAAGATGGAGGGCACAAGGAGAAGGGGACGACAGAGGACGAGATGGTGGGACAGTGTTCTCAAAGCTACCAGCATGAGTCTGACCAAACTGCAGGAGGCAGTGGAAGACAGGAGGGCCTGGCGTGCTCTGGTCCGGGGGGTCACGAAGAGGCGGACACGACTAAACGACTAAACAACAACAATTTTTTTCTAATTTGTACTCAATAAAATTAATAAAAGAAGAAGAAGGAGGAGGATATTTGTTCCAGATTAAATGGCTGATGCGTAAGCAACCATTCTTGGGTGGAAAAGAGTCTCCGACTGATGGTTCGCCTCAAATGCGGCCCCCCAATCCTCTCTATCAGGCCCTCGGGACTTTTCCCAGGCCACACACCCCTCTTCCCTCCTTGAATGTTTCTGCCTGGCTGGAATGTGTCCTTGATATCTCTGATCTTCTTATTACTTGCATGGATGGGGGACAGAGTAGGCCATGGGAGCTTAGATGCCTTGCTCCGCCCACAACCACCTTTGGCCCCGCCCACCACTGGAAGGGACCCTGAGGGTCATCTAGCCCAACCCCCCGCAATGCAGGAATCTTTTACCCAACATGGGGCTCGAACCCACAACCCGGGAGTCTCGTCCTCCGCAAACTGAATTCCAACAAGATTTACTCCCAAGTAAACGGGTGCCGCTGTTGCATGGGCAGAATGGCATAGGATTCTCCACCCACCCCAGTTGGATTGTCCACTTGATTTCGCCAACCCGGCGCCCTTCAGATGTTTCGGACTACAACTCCCATCAGCCTGAGTCAGCACCAATGGTTGCAGATGATGGGAGTTGTAGCCCAGCAGCAACCGGGGACCCAAGGTTGAAGCACACTGGCTCAGAGCAGCCTTCGCCAACCCGGCCCCCTCCGGATGTTTCGGACTACAACTCCCATCATCCTGAATGAAAGGTTTGATTTAAGCCGGGCACCCCCAAACTCGGCCCTCCAGATGTTTTGGGACTACAACTCCCATCATCCTGAATGAAAGGTTTGATTTAAGCCGGGCACCCCCAAACTCGGCCCTCAGGATGTTTTGGGACTACAGATCCCATCATCCGTGACCACTGGTCCTGTTAGCTAGGGATAATGGGAGTTGTAGTCCCAAAACATCTGGAGGGCCGAGTTTGGGGGTGCCTGATTTAGGCAGAAAAACTGGAAGTCACAAAGCAGCTGCTCTGCTGCAGAGAAATGGGGCCCCGTCCCCGTCACACAAAACCACGAGAAGAATTCCTTTCCCGCCCTGCGGCTTCCTGAAATTCCCACACTTGTGGGGCTGAGATGCCAGGTAAAGGTCAAGGGACCCCTGACCACTAGGTCCAGTTGTGGCCGACTCTGGGTTTGCAGTGCTTATCTCGCTTTATTGGCCGAGGGAGCCAACGTACAGCTTCCGGGTCATGTGGCCAGCATGACTAAGCCGCTTCTGGCGAACCAGAGCAGCGCACGGAAATGCCGTTTACCTTCCCGCCAGAGCGGTACCTATTTATCTACTTGCACTTTGACGTGCTTTTGAACTGCTAGGTGGGCAGGAGCAGGGACCAAAGAACGGGAGCTCACCCCGTTGTGGGGATTCAAACCACCGACCTTTTGATCGGCAAGTCCTAGGCTCTGCGGTTGACAATTACTCCCACCACTGCCCTGGGGAAATAGGTACTTTGGAGAATGGCTGTTAACCCAAAGGTTGGCGGTTCGAGCCCACCCAGGGGCAGCTGGGGGCAAGGTTCTTGCATAGCAAAGGGTTGGGCTTGATGACCCCTGGGCAGGATTTGTGTAAATCCTACACAAATCTGAAGCGGAGTCCCTAAGGCAGTTGGATGAGGCCTTGTACACGTCCTTCCATCAACTGCAGCCAAGCTGGTGCCAAACGTCTTGCTCTGCTTCCTTTTGGACCACACCTGCGAGGCCGAACTGCGAGGAATACAAGTTCCATCATCCCTTGCTAACAGGACCAGCAGTCAGGGATGATGGGAGTTGCAGTCCCAAAACATCTGGAGGGCCGAGGATGCCTGATCTAGTAGGTATCTCAAGCCATTTGCACATGCAGAATGTAGGCACCCTATCTACAGAACTGAGCAAACCAGTGATATTTTAGAGGCTAGCAGGTGGGGCCCATTACTTACATCAGGAGTAGGCAACCTAAGGCCCAGGGGCCGGATCAGGCCCAATCACCTTCTCAATCCGGCCCACAGATGGTCCAGGAATCAGCGTGTTTTTACACGAGTAGAATGTGTCCTTTTATTTAAAATGCATCTCTGGGTTATTTGTGGGGCATAGGAATGCGTTCATTCCCCCCCCCAAAAAAAATATACTCCGGCCCCCCACATGGACTGAGAGACGGTGGACCGGCCCACAGCTGAAAAAGTTGCTGACCCCTGACTTACATCATAGGAGCCTACACAACACAAACACTGTTGTTGTATGTAGGCTTTATTTTATTTGTTTTTTATCTTATATTTTGGAAATGTACATCCACTTTTCCCCCATTTAAATTTCTTGGGGCCCCCCAAGAGAGTGTAGCCCTAAGCTACCGCTTGTTTAGCTTATACAGTGGTAACTCGGGTTACATACGCTTCAGGTTACATATTCCGCTAACCCAGAAATAGTGCTTCAGGTTAAGAACTTTGCTTCAGGATGAGAACAGAAATTGTGCTCCGGCGACGCGGCAGCAGCAGGAGGCCCCATTAGCAAAAGTGGTGCTTCAGGTTAAGAACAGTTTCAGGTTAATAACGGATCTCCAGAACGAATTAAGTACTTAACCGGAGGTACCACTGTACCTAAATCAGAGTTTTCCTTCTCTTAAATGGGCTTCCTTCTCTGGTGGATGAGCCCAACCTGCCTTCTAGGAACAAATTAAAAAATGGGTCCCGAAAACCGTGATGTGAGTGATGGGGTGATTTTAGACACTTGTTTTTGCAAACCTGGTACTCTCCAGATGTTTGGGACTGCAATGCCCATCGTCTCTGGCCGGCTGAACATCTGGAGGGCTCTGAGTTGGGTGGGGGGAGGCTGTGCGATCAACTCGGCGCAGGACTTTGCGCATTGCAGGGATCTGGGACGAGAGGCACTCCTTTTGATGCTCAGCTAGAATTAGCCTATGCTAAAAACAGCCTCTAATGCAAATAGACAACCTGGGCTGGTTAAGAATAGCCTGCTTCTATTCCACCCCCCCACCCCTTATTAACAGGACTAACTCCTCCTGGCACAAGACCAGGGAAGATTATTTCACGTCTTTGGCCCATTCCTCGAAGTCTGAAGCCTGCTCAGAGATCCGGGACCAGATCTTCTGATTTATTAATAATAATAAAAATTTAAAAGAAGGTTTAAAGCGGCGACACCGGGGGAACGAGAGTGTTTGTTTAACCTTCTCCCTCGAATGCCGAACAAATAAAGGAAGGTGAATAATAATAATAATAATAATAATAATAATAATAATAAATTTTATTTATACCCCGCTCTCCCCTGCCAGAGCCAGGCTCAGGGCGGCTAACACCAATAAAATCACAGTGAAAACATAATAGGGGGGAACCAATTTAAAATACAGGTTAAAGTGCAATTTAAAATGCAACTTCATAGCATAGTTAATTGTCAGAGCACCTGTGAAATCCTGCAGGATGGCCAAATATCACGTCTCAGTGGCCAAACTGGGTGCCTAAAGTCAGCGCTTGCAATAGAAACTTCGTAGCAATGTACTACTTTGTGTAGTGTCAAAATAAGGATGTGTATGCACTGTGTCATAAGGACATAAGAAGAACCTACTGGATCAAGCCCGTTTATCCCAGGATCCTGTTCCCACAGCGGCCATGCAGAATTGGATAAGATGACAGGGAGAATTCGAAACCAGAGGGACCAGAAATTCTTGAAAAATTGGAGTAAATATACAAGTTATCTGAAAGACAATTGTGACCAACCGGCTACGCTTGTAGGACTACAAGAAGTTTTGTAAGGAGAACGATCTGAAATATTGCGGAAAAGATTTATGAGAATGGATTTTAAGCTATGGGTTATTAAAAGTTAGTTAGGATAACAAACGTAAGATTCAGAGATGAGGTTTGGAAATCATTAGACACGGTTGATGGGAAGTCTCAGGCTAAAATAGCCAAAATGTCGTATCAGGTGAGATGAGATGAGATGAGATGTTCTGTTTGGAAAATATATGTAAAAACTAGTAAAAATGTATATTAAAAGTAAATAAATAGATGCCCATTATGCGATGCCTGGAAGCAGGATTCGAACGCAAGATCACCCCCTTCCCTCTGCGTTTTCCAGCAACTGGTATTCAGAAGCAATCCTGCATCCAAATGAGATGGGAGAACATTGCCACCTTGGCTGGGAGCCATCCATAGCCCTCTCCTCCTCCAGGAATTTGCCTGATCCTCTTTGAAAGCCATCCAATTTGGCGGCCATCCCTGTGCCATCCGGTGGGAGGGAGTTCCATAGGTTAACTCTGCTCTTCTTTCTTTTACCCAGCCTGAAACTTCCAGCAAAGTATTGCTGGACAGGAAGGTTTGGAGTGACTTTCTCCAAGCACAAAAGTGTTTTGACCAAGAGGAGGCGAGTGGGAATCTAGCCTGGAATGTGGACTGCTGGGTTCTTTCAAAAGGCAAGGCTACTTTTGCGGGCCAGAGGTGATCGGCCCCCTGTATGGGTTCTCTATCCCGAAGCATTGCAGGAAGAGCAGGGAGCAAAAGCTGTCGGGGTTCTTCTTGT